ATATATATATATATATATATATATATATATATATATATATGCATGTACAATAGACAATTGGCAAGTGTTCTCCTGCCTATTTGCTTTTTGCCGATTAAACAGGCTCATCTTAAATGTTTTTATGCGATACTAGTAAGAAGGAACTCCCAAAAAACGCACCGTAAGCGCATTCCTGTATGGTACTTTTCATCCGTTTCATGTTCTTCATTTCCCCCTTTTCCTTTTATGTGGTTAGTTTACGTGAGTGCTTAGACGTATAAATAAACAAATATATATATATAGACTTAGTTAGCATCAAGTTTAGACATGAATGCAACGTGATTTTCCTTTGCTGGAGAGTGCTGATCCAATGACGTTGTTGCTCTTGCTAGCGGCACTTTGATTACCATGATGACGCTCTGCGTCACCGCCATTATAGAGGTTCCACTAAAACCTATGAGTGTTTTCTCAGGTGCGGTTTATTTATTACTCTGCCAGGTGTTTTTTTATAATCTCAATGTTTGCTTTTTCACTTTTATCAGAGTGTAGTTAGGGCAAGCTTAGAAGTACAGTGATACTCAGCATTCCTCAGTTTTATACTACGTTAAGCAATGACATGACAACGTTTCGTTCTTTCGTATACATTTTTTTGGAAACAAAGTATAAACATGTGAGGATAGAGCGTTTATGCAGTACCACCTCCTAAGCCTTTGAGCATCCTTTCTGGAGGGCACTTGGGCAGCCCGCATAGGGTGGCTACAGCTGAAATGTACTTTCACTGGCAGTTGTTTCCTGGTTTATGATTTCCAACATAAAGGCAACAATATCAGCTCCGGTTTCCATTGAGTATGGTATAACATTTTTTTTTTAGTGGTTGACGTGCCCCAAACCATTTAACTTTCTATTCGTTAGCTGCGGTTTTTTTTTCCACATCATCATGAGCTTCCGTTTGGTGTTCAGTTCCTCTTCTACAGCGTACGCACCGCAGCTACCTGGGACTAGGTGACAGTTTTATCACTTAACGAAAGGTACCCATTTTTTTTTATGAAAAAAGCGGAAGCAAAAAAACAACTTGTTATTTTTTTGATGCGTGGTAATGTTTTCAGCAGTGGGAATGCCTTGTGTTCTGGGAAACCGACATGATGTCTTACGGTGTTTCCTTACTGCGACCAACTTGATCGTTTTCCCAGCTAACCTACTGTGCAGGATCCTTTGAGGTCAGAGACGTGATCGTGAGGAAGTTTTTTCCTGCCAGTTTGCGGTATGAATGAATCTCCGGAGCCGCAGTTATATCGTTTCCACCGGTTGTGGTTCCCCATTGGTTCTTGTTTTAGAATGCTACCCCAAAAGTATTTAGTAAGATCTCGAGAGGGAATGGTATGCCAGTAATGATATCGATAACTATAAAGCAGACGTCGTCAATCGTAACGCTTATTTGCCTTTGTTTGGTTATAACAAAATCTCAGGAGGGATATTTTGGCTAACCACGACTAGCTTTTTTCCCCATGAAACTTTTCTCTTGCTTGCGTGATAGATTTTGAAGGAGCCTATGCGTTTCTTCTGAATAAGCTGAGGATCTGTGTGCAACTCTCTAGCTGTTCTTTCTACCTCATATATATATATATTTTTGTGATTGCCTTTTTCCACCTGGAAAGAAAGCAACTTACCTTTTTAAATTTTTTATTCCCTAGGGTAGTAAATTGACGGGACCCGGACGCAGACGGTCTTCCCTGGACGATGGAGACCGATGCGGAGCTGAAGACCGCCGCGCTGGCGGCCTTCACCCCTTTGACCTTTCTTCTCATCACCCCGACCCCGCAACACGTCAACGTCGACCTTCTCTTGGAGACACTCAAGCAGGACCCTCGGTTCGCCCGCGAGCTGCTCGAGATTGACGTGAAGCGGCTTTTGGATGGGGTGGGCCCCGGGCGCGGGTACCCGGGCCGGCCCTCCGCCATCACGTCGAAGCAGAGTGCGTCGAATCTCTTCGAGGATCCCAACCGCAGCGGTGGCGTGGCCGGGCTCGTGCGAGGGGAGTGGGAGCGGCTCGCGATGGGGGCGGAGCGGGCGCGG